CCAAACAAGGGTAAGAAGTGACTCATTTGGCATCCCAAAATTTTCGGTCCTGGTTCGTTCAATATATTAATATTTTTTTTTGTTGGAAAGAGCATCTCAAGATGCAGGGCATGATGGGGCCGTTTTTTTTGAAATAGTCCCCTTTTAAGTGCAAAAAAGAGATCACAAGTTCAATTACTAAAAAAGTGTCAAAAAATGGTAACTAAATCATATGATTGGCTGTATATTGACCAAACAAAGGCTTAATTAAAAAAAGTGGCCCCATCATGCCCTGCGTCTTGAGACGGTCTTTTAAATAAAAAAAAATATTAATGCATTGAACGAACCAGAAACGAGAAATTTGGGATGCGCTTTTGAGAAAGCGGAAACTGAGAAAAAACGAAAAACATTTTTTGATTTTTTATGAGGGGGGGCTTAATCTTTTCTTTGTTGTTAGTCATGTGCTATGAAATTTTCCTTTCCTTTCATACGTATATATATAATGGCCTTGTTTTTACCTTTCCTTCTGTTCTTCTTTCTTTTATATTGTTCTATGGATTTTTCTTTTCATGTTTACCCTCTATAGGATTTTCCCCATGTTATCACCCTATATATATTATGGTCATTACATTGTTATTGAAGAGAGAGACATATATAGTGACATTGAAATAGAATATAAGTGGAATTCAGATCTTACAGAACTAAATACCTTTAGATATTTCCGTCAATAGCTTCCTCAATATGTTGAAAACTTATTAAAACAGTCATAAATTCTGAAAGAAGGGCCAATAGCCTTTTCTCTTTCAGTCGTTAGCTAGTATCACTAAAGCTAGCATGTATGAGCAAAACATTAAGTTTGATAAGTGTTCATCAATGAGAGATCGTCCATCGTACGTTTTCTGTAATGATATATCTGAAGTGATAAAATTAATTTTCTTATTTTAGTTAATGTCGATGGACAAGAATGGGATAATGTCAAGTTTTTTCAAATATCATCACAATGGCATACACATATTAAATATTTTCCATTAGCTTTGTTTAATGATATACGCAATGTGTAATCATCTCGATAAGATTATAGTCAATCAGAACGTCATATATCACATCTTTTTACAATAGGTTGTTCTTGTAATCTCTTCTTCTCTTTCTTGGTTTTGCTTTTGATTTATCTTGTGTTTTCTCTATTCTTGTATTTAGCAATAAGAGAAAAATCTCGCTGGCACATATGTCAATCTTGCTTTCAGATGTAATATTAATGCTTATTTTGTAAATTTGCCTTATTGTACAGAATGATTTATGAAAGATATTTTGAATTTGATGATCAAAATACTGTTAAATATAAAAGTTTTCAATAATCAAGCGTTCATGATTAAATCATTTACGTCATATGATTTACGATATTTTCGATGAATTATTGATTTTATTCAAATATATGTCAAAGCTTAATATTTTAACAATTATATTAACTTCTTGCTTTTTCCCTGCTTATCATTGATCTGTATGCAAGTGTAGGTGTATGAAAAAAAAATGATGAGCTGAGATATAAATAGGAAAGATCAATCTCTATAATGAAATATTAGTGTTTCTAGTAAAAATCAATATTTACAATTTTGAATTAATAATAAAATGATAGTATGGATTAAATTTCAATTTGAATAAAAAATGGAAAAATTTGCTCTTTTTTTAGATTTGTCTTCCTATTCATAATGAGAGGAAGTTTGATTATTGTTTTCTTTATCTTATTAAAACAAATCTATGGACAACAAATGGAACTTATCGCTGGTCATGTAGTAAGTCCGATTGTTTTAAAGAAACAAAACAAAAATGATAATCAAAGCTTGATTTTTTTTTTCTATATTTTAGTTATTTAGACACGGAGATCGAACACCTATCACAACATATCCAACAGATCCGATACAAGAAAAAGATTGGCCTAATGGGTATATAATTAAATTTTTAGATTTTGATGAATTTTTGTTTTTATTGATTCTAGTTTTGGTCAATTAACAATTACTGGTATTGAACAACATTTTCGCCTTGGAAAATATCTTCGTAATCGTTATGGATCAATCCTTAGTACCAATTATTCTGCTAATGAAATTTATGTTCGTTCAACTGATTATGATCGAACATTAATGTCAGCTCAATCAAATCTCGTTGGCCTTTATTCATTGCATAATATTTCGGATGATAAAATTCCAATTCAACCAATTCCAATTCATACTGTATCAAAAGATCAAGATTTTGTATGTTATTTTCAAAGATAATAAAAAAAAATATATATGGAATCAGTTTCTTATTTCTCCGTTTAGTTACTCGGTCTCAATGATTGTCCACGATATGATCAAGTTGCAAACGAAATTTCTCAAACTGATGAATTTAAAAATACGAATACATATTTTGATGTATATATTTAATTTTTATTTTTATGTTTATAATGGAACCCATTTGACTGATATCTTCCGTTTGATATTATGTTTAGCTTATAGACAGCACTCGTCATATAAATAAAAACCCTGAGAGATTCATGTCAGTAAACTTTTCTTTTCGATTTATGTTCATTTGAGGGAATTTTCAGTTGAGTACATGGCATTACGAAAAATTTAGTTACAAAGAATTTCTCTGAAGTTCTCCCGCAAGAATAAAACTTATGGTGTTTATGATATTTGGAAGGTTTCAGATTAAACGGATGATTTTTTTCTGCATACATCGGATGCTTAAAAGTTGGCCTATTTTTGAAACTTTCGCGAGAAAATAATACTTTTGGTCAATGTTTTTATCTTCCTAAGTCGCGATCANTCATTGCATAATATTTCGGATGATAAAATTCCAATTCAACCAATTCCAATTCATACTGTATCAAAAGATCAAGATTTTGTATGTTATTTTCAAAGATAAGAAAAAAAAATATATATGAAATCAGTTTCTTATTTCTTCGTTTAGTTACTCGGTCTCAATGATTGTCCACGATATGATCAAGTTGCAAACGAAATTTCTCAAACTGATGAATTTAAAAATACAAATACATATTATGATGTATATATTTAATTTTTATTTTTATGTTTATAATGGAACCCATTTGACTGATATCTTCCGTTTGATATCATGTTTCGCTTATAGACAGCACTCGTCGTATAAATAAAAATCCTGAGAGATTCATGTCAGTACACTTTTCTTTTCGATTTATGTTCATTTGAGGGAATTTTCAGTGTTGAGTACATGGCATTACGAAAAATTTAGCTACAAAGAATTTCTCTCTGAAGTTCTCCCGCAAGAATAAAACTTATGGTGTTTATGATATTTGGAAGGTTTCAGATTAAACGGATGATTTTTTTCTGCATACATCGGATGCTTAAAAGTTGGCCTATTTTTGAAACTTTCGCGAGAAAATAATACTTTTGGTCAATGTTTTTATCTTCCTAAGTCGCGATCATTCCGGAAGTTCGTAAAAGCGTAGTAGATTGCTAAAAAACAACTTTGTTAATGTATGAGTTTTCAGCGTATTTCGCTGTTATTCATCATCTCGGTTTATAAGCCCTATTTTTCCTAGCAAATGGTCATCGTTTTTTTTCACTATTTTCATTATTCTTTGAGATTACGAACAACAGTACAGTTTTGTTAAGTCTATATCGAAAGAGAAACCTTCAGAATAGCATAAGAGTCATAAGATTTATTGCTGTGGGAAAAAGATGGAAATTCTTTGTTACTGACCTTTTTACATAATATCCTACAAGTGACTGAAAATACAATAACATGAGCGTAATCCGTAAAAAAAGGTCTATTGATACGAACTCATTTAGTATTTTTATTTACAGCATGAATCTTATCTATGAGCAAAATATGAACTCAAACGGGAAATATCAGTCAAATGAATTGCTCCGTTAATCAAAACTCTTTTTTTTTTATAGGCTTTTTTTAAAAAACTTCAAATATGGACAAATCTCACTAATATTAGTATGTATAATTCTTGGGGTATTCCTGATACAATTTTTGTTGAAGTAAAAATAAAGAAATTTTTTTTCTAATTAGATTTAATGTCTTTTTTTCTCTTAGCATATTTATAATAGAACACCAGCATGGGCTGATGAACATGTTCGAAAAAATTTATCTAATATTAATGATCTTTCGTTTCATTTTCTTTATTTAAATAATGATAGCAAACGAATACGAGGAGGTTGGCCAATTAAATTGCAATATATACAATGATAGTAAAGTTTTATTCGCATAGGTCCATTGATACAAGATATTTGGATGAATATGAATAGTTCAAGTCGCGGAGAATCATATCGAAAAGTTCAAATGTATTCAGCTGTAAGTTAAAGATGGTTTTTTTCACAGTTTTAAAATTAACTATTATTTCTAGCATGATACAACAGTTAGTGCAGCTCTTGCTTTTCTGGGTATTAATTATCCACATCAACCATCAGTAAACATAATTTTATTTGATTGTATTGGCATTTTTGTTTGTTCTTTTTTGATTTAGTATGCATCAGCGTTATTTCTTGATCTTTATAAACAAAGTAAAATTTTAATATTTTTAAATTAGTAAAGTCATGTTATCGTTTATTGTAGATTCAACATATTATATTAAAGTAGAATATTTAAATGTAACAGATTCAAATAAATCTTATCCGTATCTGTTAGATGGTTGTCCAGCATTGGAATGTCCGCTAAATATATTTACGGCTATATATAAAACTCGTTTTCCAGCAAGTGCTGAAGTTGAATGTGCGAAAAAAGTTCCACCTACTCCACCAAGTAAGTTTATATAATACCAGTTAAATGAAGCTAATTCATTTATTTAAGATGATGGAAATAATAAGACGATGACAATAATTTTGAGTATTGTTGTTTTTGGAATTGGCTTTATTATCGTTGTAATATTTGGGTATTTGTATTTACGCAGAACAGAACGTGACTCGCCTCTTTTATCTACTGAATCCTTCTCACAATTAGCTTGAAGTTCTCAAATGCATTTACTCTGTGACCTAAGATCTCGTCAATATGGAGTGCACTTTTTTTCTGTTAGTATTATTCGATGGATAATCTATATTTTGATTTTGTTTTAATCAGTTTTATTTTTGGAGGATATTAACTATCAGCTTTTTTGTTCAGTGAAAGAGAAATAAATAAAGGGAAAAGCATAAAAAGCATCATTATTTACCCTAGGTTTTTTACTTCATGTATAATTGAATATCAGATGGAATTTTGATTATGTGAACTAACGCAAATAAATATTTTGGTACAATGAAGAATTTCTTCATCAAGTCAGACAATTCGACTCTTACGACATACAATATGTATAATGATGATATTTAACTTTCACTGCATCGTATAGAAGTTCCATTAGCATTTTGCCTGCACAATGATAATAAGAATCAAGGTTTTATTAACACCATTGCGAGTCATAACAACAAGACAAAGAATTTTAAGAACAAATCTAATTTTATAGTCGAAAACTGCGAAAATTCTAGTCATGCGAAAGATTTAATTGAAGAACATTGAAAGATATAGAAAATCATGTATTTGACATCCTTCTTCTTAGTACGAATTTCAGTTATTCTCAATTATTATAGGATCGGTTCTATGCATCTCGATTAAAGTTAGAAAGAAGTTCTTTGTACCATAACTACTCAGATCCATCATTAATATGACCGTAAACAATCGTTCACTGATGTTTACAATGGCTTAAAAACACATAAACAATGAAATTACGACGATATGTCACCGCATCGCACACCTCTAAGTACAGACATAGTTTACAGTAATATTCGTGCCGTAAAACGTTCGTATTTTCACGTAAACAACCGTATACCACTGTATCATAGGCTTGGGTAGTAGTTAGGCGTGGTAGTAGTCGACAATTAGAGGATTTAGAATTGCCATTACAGGTAAAAGGTTGCGCTATAAGTTAGCAGTCATAAAGATTAGCGAATGTTTTTATTTATTTGTTTCTTTTTAATGTGTCCCAGTTCTTAGGGTACTAATTTGAATTAAGGAATAGTATTTTTTTAATTTCATTCTAATTTTGTTTATTTTAGTTCATCCAAGTATTTTCTATTGTTTTTGCATTTCATTGTATCAGCAACGGATGGGACAGTCTATTAGCGAAACGATCGTAGCGTCAACGTGTCGGTGGCTACGAGCGAGAGTGTGTCTCTGTAGCTAGTTCTGGACCTTGGCGTAGGTATAGGGTTAAAGAAGATTCACTCACATGACACATTTGTCCTTCGATTCACAACCTGACTCCCGTTAGGCTCCCATTCAAACCCTCATACCAATGTCAACATACCCTCGCCCCAAACACCTTTACCACACACTTTTTGCAACGCTCCACTTCCATGCCCTCACAAATACCAAAGTGTAAGCTTTTTATGCAACATGTATTCTATTTAATATGAAACGCATAACGGAAACCACAAAACTTATTCAGAAATTAAGAATGATAAACGGTAGTGTAATGGTTTACAGTTAATTAGGCCTTGCAGGTTATTTTTAAGTATGCTAACGCTGGTGGATGTAGATTTTGTATTCTCTCTACCCACACTCACATCCTCATTCAGATTCGAATATTTATTAGTATTAAGTTTCGTTTTAACCAATTGACAATATTCTTACATCCCTATCATTTTGAAAAAAGATGAAAACAAATAACATATTCACATTCTCAATATGAACGTGTTTTATCACTTTCGTTAGAAAGTCTACGTGCTGAGATATTATATTATAGACTCGAAATAGAACAAGCTTGATGACAATAAAAACTTCAAAAAACCTACGGTCAAAATATGTTAAAGATAGATATGAAAGGACTATGCATGAGAGATATTTTTGTTTTTTGACATGATAAATATTAACGGAAATGAATATAAATTACTGAGTTAACTTATAAGTAGTTCATGAACATGAACGCCGATTGTAGACGATGAAAATCAAGCAAAATCATGTCCTAAAACACAAAATCATATAATTCGTGAATAGAAATAAGATGCGTAATGCACATTTTTTGTTAAATACGATTGAAAATGAGTGTTAAAGTATAGACCGAGACAAGTGAACTCCATACACGGACTGTAACAGATATGTCGACAAATGATATTACGGATTCGTGAACTACAGTTTTATGATATTTTTGAACCATGGAATTCTGAATTTCTGGATTGCGATATTACAACGTTTGAGACCTTAAACTCCTTTATTTTGAAAGAGTTCGGTTTTTTCTCTATCAATTTGAACTCTCGAAGCTGAAAATCTATTTTCTTCTTGCGTGGTGTAATACATGAGTCTCAATTACATATTGTCACAGTCGCTTCGAAATAATGTTTCCTGAACTGTCTAGAGGATTGCGATGAAAATAACAAATATCTTAATATCGATGTGAAACTGTTCCGTCGTGTTTCACGTTTTAGTCGCGCAAGAAATGTGCTGAAAGCTGTATTTTTGTCTAAAGTTTTCAAAAATAAAAAAAACTGAAATATAACTAAAAGAGATAACATACATGATATATCAGACACTATACGATATCATTTAGACATTTCAATATCATCACAGCCGATCTTTTTTATTCCATTCATTAAACATTTCAGATATTCGAACATATTCACTTGCTAAAAAAGTAATTTCGAAATATAGAATATAATCATGAAATATATCACTTGATTTTGTATTAATTGTACTGGACTTTCTACTGTTTTGACTTTGTTTAACATGATTTCTGATGGTGAATGTCTAATTACGTAGAAATATAAAATGATTGAAAATACATCTAGACATATAATACTTACACTCGATCTTCGTCAAAATCAATTTAACAATCGACTACTTTTCGATTAGATTAAAAACAAACTTCATTGCCAAGTCCATCTTCAATTGATTCAATCTTTCTTGTCAATTCTTAATCAGCAACAATTTCTGTGAAAAAATAGAAATGAATTGAATTGTATAGATTTCTCTATAACTCACTAAATTTCGATTGATTTGTATGCTCACGATATTTCCTAAGAAACCATGATGATTTAATACAATTCGNTTGTATTAAATATGATTAAATGAAATAGAAAGTGCAATGGAATAATAAAAGAAACAATATTCCAATTGTGAACAATAAAGCGAAAGAATAAAATGTTCTATTTTCAATTATAAAGTTCATGGTTCCATGCTTGTTAACATTTCACGTAGAAAGTTTTTATGAATTAGAAAATGTTCAAGTATACGATTCATTTTTGTGATTAATCTAATTGTAACATTATTCGCATTGGATCTGGAGTAGGCATAATGTTTTTTCCACTATCAATAGCATCGCTTCAGTAAATATAATATTGATTCACTGTTGAATACATTACGTAGATACACGACTTTTCGATCCCATATTTTAATTCGTAAACCTTTAGAACTTTTCACTGGATCTTGCTTCATGATTTTCAAGTTCTTTTTCCAAGACTTATCGGTTGATAACGTAATCTTTTGTGTAATCCTTGATATAATTGTTCATCTGTTTTTTCTAAAACAAACATAGCATTATTTAATCAAAAGAATCCATTGCAATGTTTCGTCATAAAATTGGATGGATACTGATTTAATAACAATGACATATCAATTACGATGAATAAGACGTGGATGATCAGATGTATAGGGTAAAATAAAAGGCTCAGTGGTTGATTTATCATAAACATATGTTCTTAATTGTCCGTTTCTACTCGTTATGATTACATCAAGAAAGCACACTGATGTATTCCTTATATGCTCCGTTTTAATACTAATGTATTTATTTGTTGCTTTGTCGAGTACTTATGTAATTTCATCGAAGGTTTGATTGGTAGTGAAAAATATATCATCAATGTTTATTATGTGATGCTTGATATTTGATTAAATCTTGTTCCCATCTCATTCTAACACACAAATGTTATCTAAGACTTGTGTAAATGTTGAATCATGGTTCCACCATATATGTCAAACCTGAAAGCTGAATGCAACTATTCAATTATTGAACAATTCACGTAAAGGTGTTCGACTGTTGAATCAACCCAGAAATCCACACAAATGCGATCACATATACACAAGTAACATCGCACTGCATGTGGGTGCCACGAAAGGACTGACTCGTAGGACGAATAATGCATAGTTGGATAGTCGAAAGATCTTTTCAATAAATGAAGTCAACTTTTAGATTTGACATTACTGCGAGTAACAGAACCGCCATTGCAATGCAAAGCGACAGATATTAACCCCTCACCATGGAGTGCAAACCGGTACACTTCTCAGCTCGATTCTCGTCATGCTCACAAACCATACCCGGCTCAGGCATGGCAATCGATCGTCTGCAAAGTTTCCCTTCCATTTTTACATACGACTCTCATCAGTTTTGATGTTATTACGGGTTACAGAGTGGGGAAGCTCCTCAACTCTCAACTCATTTCATACTCTGATACCGTATCATACACGAACGCATTCACCATGGCCGCACCCACAACTGCTTCCGTAGCTCTTCCAGTATTCGATCCGTTCACGGTTCTCCTTCTGATGCTCGTTGCTGTGTCACTCGAAAACATGCTACTCGTGTCAGTGTCAATGGTGGGCTTATTACTTCTATACGTTTTAATTCTGAGAATGATTCCCGTTTTTGTTTAGTTCTTCTCCTCGCATCTATCCATTTTTCAACAGTGCTCCGAATAGCCGTACCACTTTCAATCTCGGTCCTACTACTCAGGGACGCCACGATCGTTGATTCTGATGTGCATTTCAGTTTCAGTCCTTGTGCTCGAACCGATACATC